ATACACACACACACAATAGCATTTACATATCAGTTACGATGCAAAACTTAGCACAAGCTCACTAGACAAACAGGAAGACCCGCCCCCTGTACAGAACGGTTAGCAGACCCCTCCTGGATGTGCTGATAGTGTTTTTGCACTTGCCCGTTTGTTCAGTGCACACACAGACACAGACACACTCACACTCACACTCACGCACACGTCTGCTTGTTTGCTTCCTCTAGGACTGGATAGATGATTCCGCGGGGGCTTTTCAAAAGATGGGTGCGTAGCTTGGCCTGGCAGTAAGTAAAATCTATTGTTTCATTCCACTGGTGCCTTGTCAGAGGAGGATGTTGATGCCTGAGAGTGATCGTCTCTAGTTTGTATTTAGTGGCGTACTTACAGGCACAACAAGAGACAGACAGACGTGTCAGAGACTATTTAACACAATGAAACAGGGGACTGCTTGGCTTTATGTTTGTGCAGGCACAAATTTAACTTCTCATTTCATCAGCCAGCTTCTGCAGAGACTGTTTGTGTGATTCATTTTGGTTTTCATCTGGAACAAAAAATGAAAAGAATCCAAACGGAAGCAGTTACAAAGTCAACTTTCCTTTTCCTACAGAAGACTGAAAAGTTTTTCACCACTCAAACTTTTATTCCTCCACTCCACCTCATGGCTTTACTTCTCAACATAACTATTTCACTGTTGTCTCTATCTCTCCTGTCTTGTTTTTGGATGAACAAAGTGAGACACCCTCGATCTTGAGCTTCCTCCTTCATTCAGTGATTCCTTTATTTTTGTCAACCACACACATGAGCAGGACAATCAGAGCTCTAACCCTAACTCAAATCTGGTGTAAACTAATGAGTTTCATGCTTTGTTGTTGAAGCCATTATGAAATGCTTAAAGGCTGAGGACCAGGTGATTTAGGAAGAATGGACACGGCATAAAAATTCACCACTGAGCTGACTTTTCCCCTGTGGGTTAGAGATCACGATGACAGCATCTGGGGTCTGGTCGCCTTTCAAAAGAGGTGGGGACGGCGTGGCACCATGATGATAGTACCACAATGAATAAATACAAATGACAGCAATAACCAGGAGAGTAACATCATGAATTATTAAGGTTCGGTGTATTTACAAAAGTATTTTTTTTATCTGTTCTTGATTTTTGTCCCCTAAGTTATACAAAGTCCCTATGATAAAAGTTAATGCCTCCTTTTAAAATGACAAATTCATCACAGAATGTGTAAAGTTGAATATGGTTTTACCTGCTTCATTCAGATATGTAGAATTAAGAAATCACTGCAATAGCGTCTGTCCAGCAACTTGAAATAGGCTCAACAATCTCAAAAAGCGACACACCATGCCTTGTTCTAAAAAAATTCAACAACCAAAAAACCCAGGACAATTACATATTTGGGTAACACTTTACAATAAGGTCCCTTTCATTAACATTACTTAATGCATTATTAAGCATCAATAAACAAAAGTATCACTTTATTAACATTCCCAATATTTTTATCTATTAAGCATCCTTAAGGTTAGAACAAAGGGCCAGAGGGGGTGTCTGCTTAGTAATGCAGTACACAATATGGTTGTCAATACTTTATTTATTAATGTATTAATGCTTAATAGTGCACTAAGTAATGTTAATAAAGGGGCCTTTGTTGTGAAGTGTTACCCATCTTTGGACTTAGAAGAAAAAATCTGATATTTTTAGCAGGTATGTGTCCTGCTACATTGTTTCAATACTACAGTCCAGGAAAACACCACCATACCAAAAATACCACCAAGATGGTAAATGACCTGTATTTACATAGGGTTGTACAACCCCCCTCCCCCACCCCCAAGGCATTTCACAACACAATCAGTCATTCACCCATTCACACATATTCATACGCTGGTGATAGGGCTGTGCAATAAATCGAAAATTTATCGTTATCGAAATTTGTGACTCTTATCGAGATAATTTTTTCCCATTTCAATAAATTTGATAACAAATGAAAAGATGTGTGTAGGTTGGCAATGTTCATGTCCCTTTAAGAGGCTGTACCACCTTGAGTCAGGTAAAAATGTGACTCAACATAATACATGTGACAGCCCCATCTAGTGGACAACGTTTGTTTCCGCTCATACCTGTAGTTATTGTGCATTTATCGTTATCAAGTTGAAATCCTCAATATATCGTAATATTAATTTTAGGTCATATTGCCCATCCTTAGCTGGTGATGATGAGCTGCAGTGAAGCCACAGCTGCCCTGGGGTGCACTAACAGAGGCGAGACTCATGAACACGGGTGCCACCAGTCCCTCCAACCACCACCAGCAGGCAAGCTGGGTTAAGTGTCTTGCCCAAGAACACAAAAGCAGCATTCTCTGGCAGGAGCCAGGATCAAACCTACAACTTTCTGATAACTGGAAAATCTGCTTTACCTCCCACACTACTGCTGCCCAACATGGTGGTGGTAGTGTGATGGTCTTGCTCTGCTTTGCTGTTTCAGGACTTGAACTACTTGCAGGAATTGCTGAAACCATTAATTATGCTAATTCGAAGGGTTCAAATTAAGGCAGTTGGACTTCTTTGGTTTCTTGAAGATGTATCACTTCTTATTCGAGGAGCTTCTGCAATTGTAACTGGAATATGGGAGGGTCAATCTTACAAACTGTAGCTATCTATTGCTGCTTAACGAGCTGAACGGTCTATGAAAACCCCTCCTCACTAAAACCCAATAAGTCAGTGATGTTGTTTGGTCCTATTGTGCTCTTAAAGTTCTTTTGATTAGATGTAATTGGGTGTGACTTAGACTGAAACTGTTATAGAATTATTCCCACAACAGTTACAAATACATTTTTGAAGCTCAGTAATGACTGCGGACGATCTTTGTATAAAACTCAATAACTCTATAGTTCTGATGTGCTACGTTCAAATGCCAAAATAGAAAATAATTGTCAGGAATTATTCAGGAAAGCTGCACCAGCCAAATGTTGAGTGGACATTAAGTAGCTTAGCAGCCAGTTTGTTTGGAGGAAAGCCATCCAAAAGGTTATTTGTCAAATCCAGCAGCAGGACTATAAATTTAGATGCACAAAGGCAGGAAAAGAGCCAAAATTGACTGTTTTCATTTTGCATGTCTGTTTTGCAAATGTGAGCACACCTGCTTCAGTCTGGATGAAACACTAAACAACTGGAAAGAATGTGCACACTTCATCCACACACACTGACAGATCTGATGCTTTTAAAAAATGATCGATGTATATTTGTCTTGTTCCACAGATGAAGCCACTGAATAAGAAATTCTTGGGTCATGAGTCGGGTTCTCCTGTCTCTTCTTCATAACTTGACTCTTTGGACGTCAGCCCCCGCTCTGCCCTCGCAGGATCATGGGCAGCGTCAGCAGCCTCGTTAACGGAAACAGCCTCAACAGCAAACACTGCAAAGCGTCTGAGTACAGGTTAAAGGAGGGGACAAGCAACCACAGAAAGAGTGGAGGCTGCAGTCTGGACGGGTTACTAAAGTGTGGCTTCACTCAGGGTTCCTCATCATCCACCCATCACTCTAAAGGCCTCTCCCACTCAAGGTCAGGGAGGAGTGAGGATTTCTTTTATATCAAGGTAAAAATCACACATTTTGACAGGACTTTCTGCGTGTTTTCAGTTTTGCACCTTTTCATGGTCAAATGTGTTTGTTTCACATAAGGTGAGTAACAAACCAAGATCAGGGTACCGCAGAGAAAAGTCGCTGGAGGAAGCTGTGAGCAGAGATGCCAAATCAGAAGTACGTCAACAACCAAAACTGCTGCTAATGCCTGGAAAAATGACAGAAAGGGTGAGCTTCCCACTTACTTGATTTTAATGTTCAATACCAAAAACCTAAGGTTAAGTAGAATAAGTAAGAGTTTTACAATGGAAAATAATCTCAAAGCAGTCTAATGTCTCAAGCATGTTGGAAAGGTTAAATTGAAAAAGATGTATTTCTCTGTCAGCTCGAGAGTCGTAAGATTTTCTTATTTTAAAAAGGCCAAAGAGGAATATAGTGATTGTTTATCATCTGTCCTGCCTCCATAGTTTCTGATCCCAGAGCCAACCATATTTGAGTCACACAGGGTTGCCAAGTCTGTGCTGGCAAACGCTGCTTTACCGGGATTTATAACTTTGACACCAGCCAGCAAAAAGCAGCAGTGTTGCGGAAATAAAGTTAGTGAGCTTTGAGGATGCAAATGCTGTCCTTCCCCAGCAAAACAGCTGCGGTTAGCCTATTTAGCATGTTGGCATAAAAGTGATATAGATCATCTGATTGAGTTTTCAAAATGATGCTTCTTTGAAATCCTCACAACTGACTTAGAACCGATGTGAAGAATAAAAAATAAACAGCAGGCTCTATAATTTAATAAGTAGCAGCCATTTCTCACAGACCGTCTTAAGATTTCATAGCTTTTTAATTCCCCCACCACCACCACCACCCCACCCGTCAGATTAATGACCTTGCAATGCCGTGATCTTCTTGGCGAGGTAATTTCTCTCCAAGAAAACATAAGCAATAGCATCTCCCTCAATAAGTCTTTATTCCTCTGAGGAGGGACAGAACAGATAAAGGGAGATAGCATTGAGAGAGAGATCGAGGGCCACGGAGTGTTTGACAGATTGAAAGGAGAAAAAAAAAAACAAGTAAATAGCATCCCAGCCATGAAGTCAGTTTGAAGGAATGCTGAGCTCACAAGCTTTTCCTCTTACACTTCTGCAATAGCTCATATCATTAATATCAGAGAGAGGAGCTATTCATCTTCTCTCAGACAGCACATGGAGGGGAAATGTGGGCTGCAGAGGATGAAAAGAGGTGTACAGAAAGAACGGAAGGTATGGTGTTGCTGGTGACAGTCCTGAACAGCACAGATGGGCCTGTGGAGTATAAGTTCGTCTTAGCAGTGAGCTTTGTCCTTCTTTATGACAGTCTAGTGAATTTTACTTGCCGTTTTGGCTGTGAGGCTTTTAATGGTGCCATCTCGTAGTGAAGCAGGACTGCGCGCTCCAGTGATTCCATCTCTAACATGAAGTGACAAAAGTACAGAAAATAAAACACATCCTTTTATCTAAACTAACTTCCGGCATGTTGCAATAAATATTCTATGTTCAGTATGAGCTGCCTTTTTGGGTTGCTTCTTATTCTGGGCTTTAGAAAATACCTTCGTCTTAACTTTTCCACATCCTTGCGACTGTGCTGTCAGCCTGGAGAAGCCACAGAAAATAAAAACGTACACAGAGACGAGCGCCCCGTGACTGAGTGTCATTTTATTCTTCTAGGCATCTGCTGAGAAGTCGCTGGTCCGTTCCACTGCCTTCAAGTCTGTGAATCCCTCGAGGCCTTCGTCCACTGAGATTGGCCAAAACAGCCTGGATCACATCCTCTGTCCTCTGAGGAAAGCAAGAAGTCCAAACATTGGACACAAGCAAGACACCTTGGGTTTCTGTCAGTATGCTAAAACCTCGAAAATGTATAATTCTAACTAAATTGAAAAAATGAAAATGATGAAATCTGTCTTTTAGGGACTCTCTCTGACTCTGGACGTAATTCCATGTCTAGCCTGCCAACCCACAGCACCAGTGGCAGTCTGAGAGCTTCTGCAGGCGCTGTCGCTCAGAGTGATGGCAGCTCGGTGCTCGCTAACAGCCTCAACAGAGGGAAACAACCCAATTTTCCTCCATGGGTCAACGGAAACAACGCCAGCCTTGACTACAGTTATGGGGCTTGTTTAAATAGCAGCGTGTTGGCATCTGAGACTAATGAGGACGCTGGCTCCCCACTCCCTGCAGATGAGCCGAGAACTCTGTCTGAGACTATGGGTGGGATTCGGTCCCCCATCACAACAAACGAGTCACTGATTGAGCATCTAGAACAGAGGCTGTTGGAGAGAGAAACTGAGCTGCAGGAGCTGCAGGTACACAACTTTAAATCAACAGCAGACCGGCATTTTGGTCATATTTATCTGACAAATGAACTCTTCATCAGGTGAATTTAGAGGAGAAGGAAGCAGACACCTACCAGGTGTTTGAGGAGAGACAACGGTACTGCTCAGAGGAGATGGAGGGCCTGAAGGTGCAATGCTCCACAAAGCTGCAACGGGTGTCTCAAGTGGCTTCAAAAACTCATCAGGCTCTACAGCAGCAAGTCAGCCAGCTTCAGGTCAGATCTCAACTGAATCTACATTTTTAAAGGCGTAGAACACTGAAAAAACATTTTTTTTATTTCTGATAATAATTGTTGGTCACACTGCCACTTAACATTCATGGACTCACGACGGGGAAGGGTGATAACAGCAGGAAACAGCCGAGAATGTCTTGGCTTGTAGATGCTAACCAACGGCATTAGCAACTACTTCACACAGCAGAAGCTCCTCCAGGCTTGTGACATTTGTGGAGACACAACGTCAACGTTGCAAGTCAGTGTTAGAGTCGCATTGATGTTATCCAGTCTGAGGTGAGATGTCCAAATATCAGGAAATAAAATCCCACATCCTGAAGCTCAGCTGTGATGTGGCTCACTTCTAGTTCCTGGAAATGGTGCACTGGTGTTTTTTTTTACCCCTAGAGTACAATTTACAAGGCATTCATTCCTGCCAGAGACAACTGCAAATGTATTGATTAAACAAGTGTTCCACACCTTTAAGTCACCCTCAGCCATACAGCAGCCATCCCATCAGACAGTTTAACCTGAAAAACAACAAATTATTCCACGCATTTAAAAAATGTATGTGGGGATTAAAAATGTGTGCAGGCGAAGAAAGAGAAGCTTCAACAAGATGTTGCCAAGCTGACTCGGGAGAAGGACCTAGCTGAGTTCAGACTGAGGTCTTGTGAGAAAGAGAGCACACAGCTGGTGCCAACGCTGGAGGAGACGCAGTGGGAGGTGGGTCACGTGTGTGATGAGCTGAAACCTGTTTTTACACTAAACTAAGTGTTTGTATTCATGTTGTTAATCTCAGCATCCTCACCCATCACACTAATTAATTCCATGTAAATTAGTCCAACTGGATTTGCACATGGGGCAGTTTTACATGAATATGGCAAAATGCCTGCAATATTTCCTCATGCACAAATCAGCACTGAGCACAATTTTATATTTGCCTTTGATGTATGAAACTGTTGCCTACGTAATGCCCTTGTAGATTCCAGTTACACCAATAAAGCTCAGTTGTTAATTTAATTACAAATGAAAAGCTTTTTAACACACTTTTATGTGACCTCTCTTCCAATCTAAGCTGTCATTTAAAATAATTATTAGAACATTTTTGGGATGTAACTGCGTCTGAGTGACCTAAATACAAATATAAACCAGACCCAGTGAAATGTTCACATTAAAACACTTTCTATGAGTAATCATCATGGCATACTTCACAATTCTAGAGAAATATATGTATTTTAATAAAATAATAAGTAAAAAATATCCTATTCATAAGCTGGTGATGATGAGCTATGTAGCCACAGCTGCCCTGTGGTGCACTGACGGAGGTGAGATTGCCAAGCACTGGCACCACCAGTCCCTCCGAACACCACCAGCAGGCAAGCTAGGTTAAGCTTTTTGCCCAAGGAGACAACAGCAGCGTTCTCTGGTCGGAGTCGGGATTTAACCTACAACCTTCCAATTACCGGACAGCTCGCTCTACCAGCTGAGCTACTGCTTTTATCAGAAAAAATAATTAACACGAAAACGCATAAAATTGACTCACATTCTTGTTGTACTGCCCTGAATGTGGTCCAACATAGAACAATGTTAATAAACAGATTTTTTAACTATTATTCATCTATTTTAATTTATTCATTACAAAGTACAATGTTTTTATGCTGACAGAGAAAAGTGATATCTTTACTGACAACCTGCACATGTTTTAACATTAAAAAAAGTGATTTGTGTTAAATATAGCTCCTAAATACTGTAATGATTTAATTTACATCTATTTAATGAACCATAAAATGTGAGATTCCGTAGGAAATATGAAATCAATCTTATGGATCTTTGAGTAATTTTAACCAGAAGATTGGAACTTTTTATTGCAGGGATTATGTAACCACTTTGTATTAACTGAGAGACAAGAGAAGAGAAAGTCACCTTTAAAAAGTTTAAGAAGATTTATTTCTAAACTATTTTAAACAAGACTAACTCTAAACTCTAAACTCTGGGTGATGAATGATCTTGATGTGAATGAGACGTGAGATGGATGGTGTAAGTGTGAGTGATGTTGTCATCAGAACTCTCGTATCCGGAGAAGCAAGTCTGAGTGGGAAGTGATGTGTTGCTCTAGGCTATGATCGTTGGTTCATAAACACATGAGACGCCATTTTGTCGCTCCACACATACTCTTAGGATGAGACCTCCGTGCAGATCCAGAATGCCAGGTCCTCTGACCCCCTTTCGGTACCGGAGCCGATGAAACAGCGTTAGCAGTACGACAGACTAGTCTTTGGATTGTCTCCAGGTAAAAAGTGACAGTTGGTTGACAGCGTCAGATGGAGCCTGAGGGTCAGTGAGTTCAGCTTTTATTCTGAAAGGAACCGTTGCTTGGCTGGTAAAGTGCAACAGATTTTATCCAGCTTGTCAGTTCTTTGCTTAAAAAGGAAGTCCGGGTGGCCGGTCTGATACTTCTCTTAGAATGCGGTGAACTGGCTTAAGATGGCGTGGGGACTGGTTTTATTAATCTGGATGTTTTGATTTACGGTCGAATCAGAGTTTGACGGATTTATAAAAACCACAGAGATCATGCCACGCTTCAGAAAGGAAGGTTCCAATTGGATGAGAAAGATAAAATGTGTCATGTGACTTTTAAGCATTACATGGATCCGGATGTCTAGTGCAGCTAAATTGAAGTCATATTACTTATTAATATTAAAATACCACTGATCATAAACATTGTCATTTTACAGATTTCACATTTTATTAATGGACTAACACTTTGATTAGCTTTATTAAAATAGAGTTCTTTGATTTATTAAAAAGAAAGTTCGTCTTCTTTCTTCTCTTGAGCTGGAAAGGAAACAGTTTTAGAAGCAAATGCATGACCCTGAGGCAGTCTCATGCAGATTAGTTCTTCCTGAGGAGAGAGGGTAAATAACCTTCGGTGGAATAGCTCCTTCATCACGTTACAATACATCAGAAAATATTTCACGTTTAGAATGTTTTCTTTCGTTTAACCAAGTGTTTATAATCCCTAAATCAAGTCAAATGAACAGAAAGTAATTAAAACTAAAATATACATTTCAAACTACGCATCTTACGTATAAAAGTACTTTGTTGTTCTGATTCTAAACCAGTAACTCAGTTACCCACCAAACTTTTTCAGTTTGAAAAAACAAATAACGTATCAACTTTTTTTTAACTAATAATCTTTCTTTTCACAGGTAAACTTTGGCTTTGTGCTCTTACATGCAGCGTTTTCTTGTTGTTCTTCAAAAAGCACAAAAAGCTTTTCACAATATGAATAAACACATCCTTGTCTCTCCTTAATCCCACGTTGGCTGGCTTTATATGTCCATTATGGGCATTTTAGCTCAACAATAATGTTATAATGAGCACAACCAATTTAATAAATAGCAAAGATTTCCCAGATAGCATCATTATGAAGAACTCAGATAATCCCCACATTGAAATAATGTCAGCCTGGCAATAAACAATATTCTAGGAATCTAATGAGATGACAGTTTTAGGCCAAATGATGCTTCATGAGTTTTTAATTCCCTTACAGATTACACATGACAGAAAAAATGGTAATTATCTGTGTTTAAATGCAGGTGTGTCAGAAGACAGGAGAAATCTCATTACTGAAGCAGCAGCTGAGGGAGTGTCAAGCAGACGTCGGCCACAAGCTCAACGAGATCGTCAGTCTCAGAGCGTCCCTGAAGGAGAACACAACAAAGGTGGCCGTGCTCCAGCAGCAGAACAAAGACTACGAGGACAAAGTACAGTTCTGCACCGTAGAGGTGGAGGTGAGTCTGTTTTGATCTAATTTGAATATCCACAAAGTATTCTCACATTACACTGAATTTTTATTGCACTAACTCGTGTTTGGTGTTTTCAGTTTTTGAAGTTATGACAGATGAATTTGATCCTTCACAATAAAACACGTCATTTGTGTCTGAATGCTTTCCCTCTTTTGCAGGTGTGTCAAAATGAACTCCAACGCAAGAAAAATGAGGCTGATTTTCTGAGAGAGAAAGTGAGCGAGCTGGAGAAAGACATTCAGGGAATGAAACAAGCCAAAGAGCAGAGGCTGCAGCAAGGATTGGAACTAACTCAAGTGGAGCAAAGACCAATGCAAACCTCAGACTGCTCTGATCAAGGGGTGGACAACAAAAAACACATCTCCAATGAATCGCTCCAAAGAGAAGTGGAAAGAGTGAAGCAGCAGCTGAAAGAGGAGCAGGATGCTCAGGAGAGGCTGGCCAGCAGCTTTGAGCAGGAGAGGCAGACGTGGAACAAGGAGAAAGACAGGGTGATCAAATACCAGAAGCAGCTCCAGATCAATTACCTGCAGATGCACAAGAAAAACCGAGACCTGGAGAGGATCCTGAAGGAGCTGACGGCCGAGCTGGAGAGCCGAACCGAGCTGAACGTCAGATACGCCTCGGGGTTACAAACTTACGATGATGTTATTGCCACTGAAATTTGAGGAGAGCGGTCATTAGCATGATTTCTGTAAAACTAGAATCTGCTAGATTAGTCTTTTTCTTTTGTATCATCACAAAAACAGGAAGTCCATCACTGAAATACTTTGTGTTTAATCCAGGTTATTTATCAATTTGCATAATTTAGAGGATTTGTGTTTTTGACTGCTTTTACTTATATAAAATTATAAACTAATTTATTTAACATCTAAATGATAAGTGATGCACATCATGCTATGTTTTAACATGCTAGTAGAAACTGGACACTCACGGTTTATTTAATGTGTCAGTATTAGTTTTATAGCAACACGTCACAGCATGTTTATCCAGCATGACAACATTACTACTGTAAAGTGTCGGTTTCTCAACCTTAAATCCTTTTACCCTGTTTCCACATCACTAAATGCCTCCACACGCTTTAGACCATAAATATAGTTTCAAACCCAAACCATGAAATTACTTCAAAACAATAAAAGCGTTGTGAACAATCACAATTACACTAATGCGAAAAATAGGTTCACTTATGTTGATGATATGCAGACACCACTGCAGTTGTTTTTTTTATTTATTAAACTAATAGTATATTTTTGTCACTTGTAGAACTTGTAAAATGTATGTTTTTTTAATAAACATTCCAACGGTTTGGAATTATTATGTGCAAAGTTTTGCCAGGGAGAATTCCTATTGTGAACATAATGCACATCTAGGATAACAGTTTTCTGAAGTAACGTAAAGTTGTGTTTCTTTAAAATGAACAATCTCATGTTGGAGTCACGGAGATTCACTCTGACTCAGAATGAGTAGAGAAAAGACCAACATTGATTTCTGCCATCTTTAAACAATTAAGTTTTAAGAAATATTAAAGCAGTTCATGCTACACATTATTATGGTAGAAGTAATCCAAATGAAGGTCACAACAGATTGGTAATTTCCGCTGCAAACAACCCAGTTACAGGTCCTTCTCAAAAAATTAGCATATTGTGATAAAGTTCATTATTGTCTGTAATGTACTGATAAACATTAGACTTTCATATAGATTAGATTCATTACACACAGCTGAAGTAGTTCAAGCCTTTTATTGTTTCTAATATTGATGATTTTGGCATACAGCTCATTAAAACCCAAAATTCCTATCTAAAAAAATTAGCATATTTCATCCGACCAATAAAAGAAAAGTGTTTTAATACAAAAAAAGTCAACCTTCAAATAATTATGTTCAGTTATGCACTCAATACTTGGTGAGGAATCCTTTTGCAGAAATGCCTGCTTCAATGCGGCGTGGCATGGAGGCAATCAGCCTGTGGCACAGCTGAGGTGTTATGGGCGCCCGGGATGCTTCGATAGCGGTCTTAAGCTTATCCAGAGTGTTGGGTCTTGTGTCTCTCAACTTTCTCTTCACAATATCCCACAGATTCTCTATGGGGTTCAGGTCAGGAGAGTTGGCAGGCCAATTGAGCACAGTAATACCATGGTCAGTAAACCATTTACCAGTGGTTTTGGCAGTGAGAGCAGGTGCCAGGTTGTGCTGAAAAATGAAATCTTCATCTCCATAAAGCTTTTCAGCAGATGAAAGTGCTCCAAAATCTCCTGATAGCTAGCTGCATTGACCCTGATCTTGATAAAACACAGTGGACCAACACCAGCAGCCGACATGGCACCCCAGATCATCACTGACTGTGGGTACTTGACACTGGACTTCAGGCATTTTGGCATTTCCCTCTGCCCAGTCTTCCTCCAGACTCTGGCACCTTGATTTCCGAATGACATGCAAAATTTGCTTTCATCCGAAAAAAGTACTTTGGACCACTGAGCAACAGTCCAGTGCTGCTTCTCTGTATTCCAGGTCAGGTGCTTCTGCCGCTGTTTCTGGTTGAAAAGTGGCTTGACCTGGGGAATGTGGCACCTGTAGCCCATTCCCTGCACACGCCTGTACACGGTGGCTCTGGATGTTTCGACTCCAGACTCAGTCCACTGCTTCCGCAGGACCCCCAAGGTCTGGAATCAGTCCTCCTCCACAATCCTCCTCAGGGTACGGTCACCTCTTCTCTTTGTGCAACGTTTTCTGCCACACTTTTTCCTTCCCACAGAATTCCCACTGAGGTGCCTTGATACAGCACTCTGGGAACAGTCTATTCGTTCACAAATGTTTTTCTGTGACTTACCCTCTTGCTTGAGGGTGTCAATGATGGCCTTCTGGACAGCAGTCAGGTCGGCAGTCTCACCCATGATTGCGGTTTTGAGTAATGAACCAGGCTGAGAGTTTTTAAAAGCCTCAGGAAGCTTTTGCAGGTGTTTAGAGTTAATTAGTTTATTCAGATGATTAGGTTAATAGCTCATTTAGAGAACCTTTTCATGACATATGCAAATTTTTTGAGATGGGAATTTTGGGTTTTCATGAGCTGTATGCCAAAATCATCAATATTAGAAACAATAAAAGGCTTGAACTACTTCAGTTTTGTGTAATGGATCTAATATATATGAAAGTCTAATGTTTATCAGTACATAACAGAAAATAATGAACTTTATCACAATATGCAAATTTTTTTAGAAGGACCTGTATAGGGCCTGGGATCATGACGTCATCACCGAGGCGGCCGTCCTGTTGGCGGCCTCCGAGTCCTTCCTTATTGCTTGTATCTCCAGACAACAGCACGGTCAGTCTTGTTCTTGCAGCTCCATTTAATCTATTATTCATTTGATCGGTTATATTATGCAACCATGGTAAATCGTTGCTGTGTTGTGGGGTGCAGCATGTGATCGCCAGGGAAAATAGGTGGAAAACAGGCTAACTTCATTGTTTTCCTGCTTGGAGGCGTAACCACAGAGACCAAGTATCTAACATAAAAAAGTGTCGTTGGCTCGGTTGGATCGCAGCTGTAAGGCGATCAAAAATCACCTTCCAGAATAGTTTTATTCTGGTATGTTACAGATGGTTTACGATTTTTTATACATTGTTTCTTTCCTTCAACCGCGACATGCACACACAATACACACAGGCTACACACACATACCATTAAGCTAATGCGGGCACACTGACACACAACACAACTTCTCCTGCTACACTTCTTCTATGGGATGATGATTTTGATTGTTTTACTAGAAAAATCAGTAAATGGAACTTTTACTTCTCATCCAAATGTTTACATCCGCTCACACCGCAAACAAGAAAGCCAAAAATGTTGGTAATGCAGACCTGCGGCGGCAACAAGTTCAACAAGGTGCTCCAGTCTTGGGTCTTTCAGAAGGATCCAAATCATTTATAATGCTGATTTTGCCCACATAACGGTCCTTGGCTTCCCTATTTAACATATTCCCGTATATTCCTCATCCTTTTGGGGATTTTAACATGTAGTTTAACACTTCCTTTCTCCATGTCTGCACACATCCCAGAATGCAACGCATAATTGCGTGTGATCCAGAGCCCTACTGCATTTTCATAGCAGTGCATTGCTACTAAATAGTTGAAGCAGGATTCCTCTGGTTTTTTTCCCAGAAGGCACCACCTAGAGGTGGAAAAAACACAAATGGAAGCAGCGCTTCTCATTTGTGAACGCACTCTTCTAGCTGGGCGACAGAGCTAAAACACAAAGTTTTATAATTATTATTGTCATGTTAGGCTGTTTATCCATAAATATATTTTAAAGATGCACTTGTTCATAAAAAATAACTGTGCATCTGTTTGACATCCAAGTAGAACAAGTAGATCCTTTCATTGTTGACAATGAGATCCAGGATAATTCTTTGTCCATCTTTTGAGACGCTTTTTTAAAGGTTTAGTAAATGGGCTTTCCTTTACTTTTGTCTGTCTTCTAGGAAAAGCATGAAGTCGTCAAATCAGTATTTTTTGAGCTGTGAGGGCGGTTGCAGCTGTCCCATAATTTATGGTGTCCTCAAAGATTTAAGCAGCTTGAAAATAGTGCTCAGTCTAGGTACTTTCACAACTGCACTCACTTGCTGACTGACATCTGTATGTAAGCAGATGTTGGCCAATGCTGAGCGGTGGTCATGTAAAACTGCATAGGGCTCTATTGGATGGGGAGGGGGAACAGGCTTAGCAAACAAAAATTGATGTATAGCCCACATTATGTAACACAACAGGTTAAGACCAACATTTTTACAGATTTCTAAAATAAATCATAAAGCATTCCTTGAAAGGAGATCTCTGCTTTAATTGCTATAATACACTGCCTGGCCCTTAAAAATGTCTGCATCTTTATGCATCTAAGAAAATAGGTACGAGACTCATATTGGATAATCACTGCATAGGTGGTTATCTTTCAGCTTACAACAATTTATTTAATCCCAGCTGGTGCAATGAGATGCTCCTCATTTCTTAAACAACCATGTTGAACGACACATCTGGTGGTTGTGGAAAAGTCCGTTTGAGAAGGGTCAGATCATTGGCATGCGTCAAGCAGAGAAAACTTCTAAGGAGATTGCAGAAACGACTAGAATTGGGTTAAGAACTGCCCAACGCATTATTAAAAACTGGTCTGATGAGTCCAGATTGATCCTGTTCCAGAGTTTATAAGAGTTACCAAATTCCACCTCATTTCTCCATCTTGCCACAAATGGATGGGTTTGAATTTGTTCAGAAGTCTTGAAGCTTTTTTGAAGAAAGTGTATCTTGTAGTTCTAGATGTCATAGATCTATAACTAGAAGGTAATATTTCAAACTGGTAGAGACTGGAGTGGGATCAGTCATGAAGGAAGTTGTTGGCTCTGGAGAGAATGCAACTGTTTTCTACAAGGGAGGAAGGGAATAGCCAAATACTTTTTATTCCAGGAGGTCCTTTTGTTATCTGACAATAAGATGAAACGTTCTATAAAGGAACGCCAGCAGCCTTTCAGTCAGATAGCTCCTCTTTAGTCTCAGGAAAAGAAAGCACTGTTGGGCCTACTCAAAGAGCTTTCTGCATCAGGTAAGAAGTTTATCATTCAAGTGATTTCCCTTCAAAAGATCTAAACTATCCTTTAAACAGTTTGTTTTCTATTGATTTGATCATATTTATTTGCTGTGGTATATTCTACACACATCATAGATACACCGAAAACCCATGAACGTTAATTTGGATTCACACTAAGTAGACATACAAAGAAAAGGTTTAAACTTCTAAGTTAATTCAATTCAATTCAATTCAATTCAAAAATACTTTATTAATCCCAGAGGGAAATTGATTGCTGTAATAGCTCATAATAATAATAATAATCAAGTCATCAAAGAGTTATTGTGTATTACAATGGCTGTTGGCAGGAAGGATCTCCAGTAGCGGTCAGTGTTGCAGCCAAACTGAAGAAGCCTCTGACTGAAGACACTCTTCTGTTGTCGGACAGTCTTGTGAAGAGAATGCTCAGGGTTGTCCATAATTTTCTTGATTCTCTGGACAATCCTTCTTTGCATTATCTCCTCCAGTGGTTCCGAAACTGCCGAAACTCTGGCTGAGTCATTGAAAGAGCTTGGAGTTCCTCCATCTTGTTGGCCAGTGATCTCACATTGCCCATTATGATCGATGGAAGAGATGGTTTGAATTTCCTCTTTCTCTGTCTCCATTTTGCTCCCGCTCTGCATCCACGCTTCTTGCGTTTTAGCTCATTTGGGATTTGTGTCTTCAGTTGAGATATTATTTCAGCCTTTCCAATGTTAATCAGCTGCTCCCGATTG